CAGGATTGTGTTGTACGTTCTCCATCTGATTTCTCGCTACTCTGTTTTCTCTCTGCCTTCTTCTAAAGCTTCGTTCGATCTCTGGGTCGGCTGGGAGTAGATCTCCTTCAGCAGATCTTGGCATGCACTTCTACAATAGAATTCGATTTAAAGACTTAAGTAACTAAAATATGCACTTATGTAATAAAACTAACTAGCAATAAAATAAAATGAACTAAAATAAATTAAAAATAAAAAGTTCAAATTAGTGCTAAATTGAATAAAATTAAACGAATACTCAATTCCCCGGCAATGGCGCCAAAAACTTGTTCGCGAAATAATTCTTTCGATTTAAAACTACTGCAAGTGTACGATTCGTAACAAGTAATAAAGTGGATTTTTAAAAGTCCGAATATCGTCTCTCAGAGATTGAGTAGTTCAATTCTATATAATCTAGCCTTAACCGAATCTAATTGAGTGATAATATGATCTAAATGCAAAAAGCCCTAATTTCAATTAAAAACTTTAATTTCAACTAAAAACCATAATTTCTATTGAAAACCCTAATTCATCAATTAGAAACCCTAATTTCGAAATTTCTCTAATTAAACGACTCAAACACTCAAGTAAATGAAATTTTGCAAATTCAAAAGTTAATTTAGGGAAATGAATCAAACTAAAGTCACTAGAATCACGAATCCCCAATTGAAGTTATAAAAAACCCTAATTTCATAAAATTAATGATCCGGTGGAAATTTTGCCAATTCAATGTTCCTAATTCTATCCAATATATTCTCTCGATATATATTAGACCTATTCTTGCACACCACCAACCTATATCTCTATGGATGATGCAAATATACAAGAATGCGTGTAGTTTTGTGAACAATTTGAGAATTGCATAAAGCATAGGGGTATATCTCTATCCCCTATCGGACCTTATGTTAATTTACACCTTATCGAACATATTCCACTTCTCTCGAATGTAAGAAATAAGTCATCAACACTCACACAATCATTGGCCACTAATTGCGGAAGAAAATTAATGCATGTAAACTAATCAAATTATCCAAACGAGTCTTTATATTAAATTCATGAAATATGGAATTAAAATAACAAACAACGGTTCATCGATCACCTAGTAATTAAAAACTTAGCCTAGAATATTCATAATTACAGAAAAAAAATGAAATTAATAAATAGAAAGAATAGCATCCGTATGAAAATTCCTTGAATTCTTGAATAAAACCTTGAAAACCCGATTGAATCCTTGTGAAATCGGCTTCAAGTTCGTGTTTCTTGCCTCCAAAAGTTATATTTTTCTTCTCCCTGGACGTTCTGCCCTATTTCTGATGAATTTTGGCTTTTATGCCATGTCCTCACGGGGCCCCGAAGGAGTTTTAATTAAAAACGGAAGTTCAGAATTTTCGTCACATTTTTAAGCCATGCGCCCGCATGGTGTTAAACCATGCAACTACATGGTTCAAATGATCTCCCCAATAAAATCCCTGCTAGTTCATGTGCGGCCGCATGGTATAATTGCATGCGGCCGCAAGGTTGTAACTTTACAACCTTGCTATTTTGGTCCCTGAACTCCGTTTTCTCTTTTCTTGATCTCTTTTCTTTCTTTCCTTTGTTCCATTATCAAATGCTGACTCCTAATTGATGTTTGGGTCAATCAATTCCTTGATCACTTGTTTGGCTCATCTTTTGATTAATTGCAATTTAGTCCTTCATCTTTCACTTTTCTTCAATTCAGTCCAATGTTACTTCTTTCTTCCTCCGATCGTCTTGTATCGTCCTCAATCTCATACTTGGCATATTTTCATTCTAGTTCTGCACTTTAGCTCAACTTTCCAATATTTGCACCTTTGGTCCCCGAACTATCGCTTTGTTTCGTTTTGGTCCTTTTTCGGCTCTTTTCTTCTGAATTCCATCTTTTCCATAGAAACACCTACATTGCATGAATTTAACGAGATTAAGTCACAATTCAACTACTTTGTTCATATTTAAGTCATGTTTGTGAGCTAAATAAGTGTGTAAAAACACACTTATCAGGCATCGTTCGGGTATGTCAAGAACTGTATGAAGGTTGAATGACCAATAGAGGATTCGTTACTCTTAGATAGTAAGAGATTGTGATCTGCATTTCGTTCATTAAGTCAATAACGAAATCCTTAACCAAGGTATACACACAAGTCGAAAAGGTGTTTTCAACTCATATTGACTTAATAGTAGAATGAAAGATATGATCGATAATCGAGATTGACACACTTCCATATCTCGTAATTGATCGGATCATATTGACGAAGGGATTATAGTTTCATGGTAAACGAACAGATTTGATTTTGTCATACCACGTGACATTTCCCGTCACATGTGTTGCCCTGATACATTGCTAGATGTCAATCAGGGACGGCGAATGTGAATTGGTGATAAATTAAAAGGGTGTTTTAATTTATCAATTTTTTGATTAGATCAAAATAATATTTCATGTCGTTAGGCATCGTAATCGGGAACCTGATGGGTCGCACATAAAAGAGAATTGGAAGATTACAAATTGTCAATTAATTAATTGGATTGGTTATTTATAGCGCCGAATTAATTAATTCACGGACCAGATTTAATTAAATGGATTAATTAAATATTGGATCGGACCAGGTCGAGCCCGTTTGGGCTTATATAAATACATGACTAGGGTTTTAGAGCCATAGAGTTTTCATAATTTTTGCTAGCAGAAGTCGTGAAAGCCCTGGTGGTTGCAATTCGTTCTCTATGTGGAATTCATTGAAGGCTGGACAATTGGACAGCTGTGGGAGGCAGATCCAAGTTGTTGGAACAAAGATAACACAAAGTAGTTTGCAAATTCAAGAAGAGGTATAACTTTTATCACAATTTCTATCTAAATACAAAGAAAAATCCTGGAGAAAATTGAAATTGTTTTTATTTTCCCTGTGCATGTTTAAGTAAATTCTCAATACAATCAACGGTCTTTAGATAAACATTCAACAAAATCATAATTCAGAGAAGAGTTTACCTACAAACTATTTAAGAATAAAAAGTTAAAAAAATGAGTAATTGTGTTCTAACTAACGTTCTAAAAAGCACAATGTGTGGCGATGCGTGAATGCTAAGTTATAGGCTGAGCGAGCTTAGGCGAGACATAGGCTTAAAAAAGCATAAAAATGCGTTTTCTTATTTTAATTTTTAATCAATCAAAAATCGTTTAATAATTAAAAATAATACTTACCAAACATTTAAAACAAATTTATAGGAAATGTATACATTTTTCAAAACTTTCAACAAAATGATAAGTTCTAAATATCAATATTAAATAGTATATAAATAAGAATTTTTTGAAAGATTTTCTTTGTTCAAGGCTTCAAGTAATTATTTTGAATTTAGAACCAACGAAGTGAATAAATCAACATTTAAGTTTTAACTTAGAAAAATTGTTAAATAATAATAATAATAATAAAAACAAAATAATAATAATAATAATAATTTTTTTTTAAACACATAACCACGCCTAGGTGCGCATTAGTAGTCAACGATTGCTGTTAACCGCTAAATAAGACGTCAAGCCACTTAACTTGGCGTTTTAGCCACACATCACGCATTGGCGATGCCTAATATGCGCCTTTTAGAATAGTGGTCCTAACATGATAGACAGCTTATTCGTAAGCAAGAAACGAAACCCACAACTTTGTAGGTAGATCTGGGCAAATTGTTCCGGGTTCATTTTGATGTAGTGGCTATTTGTATGGAGGTCAACACAAGTAAATAATCTTAAGAGTACATTTTAATAACATCTAGCTTTGTGCCTTTTTAATTCATCAATGATTTTACGTCTCTAACTACGTGACAAGCCACATGGCTGCCAACTAAGAAAAGCACTGAGTAAGTATTTTGCCGATGTCCAATTTTATCACTTTTCGAGGCGATGAAGGAGCATCCCATTGCCTCCTTGGACTTTGCTTTCCAAGGATTCGGATGCACAACACATGCCTCATCGACTAATGCCCTTGAGGCTACTTAGCCTGAAGTAGAAGCGTCAACACCTGACTCCGAAGTGGTGAGAGGAACCACTACTAGTAGTCAAATAAGATTGTTCTTTGGTGTTCGAGGTGGTAGTGATGCTCTGAGGGCTTCTCATATAACTTATATTCTGATATATAGAGTTACGTGAGTTGTGATTGATGGGATGTCTTCTGCAATGATTGTTGGGAATTAAATTCCACCTTTTTTGCCTAGGACAGCATGCGAAGCTCATAGTTGCTGATTCCTAGGACACGACATTGTGACGTCATGAAGCTTGGTTAAAAAAACTCACGTTTACTGTTATTCAAATGTAATTGCAATCTTAGCAATTCTTTCTATAATACAAACTCTTTTGGTCATATCTCCTTCTCTTTTACCATCACCCCTCACACAATATATTTTGTCTTATCCTTTTCGATTGAGCATCAAAGTGCATATGATCGTTGCTTTCTTAATCCTTTGTGTTTGGAGGGACTTTAGTCTTGCATTTAAAATATGCATTGTCATATATAATTAGAGGGGAGTGGATATGCGATATATTGACGCATTAGTCCCAAACAAATTTAAATGCTGATAAATTAGCATTGTTTGTAAAAAATCATACCTTAATCACAAGTGAATCCAAAAACCTACCTATTTCCCTTGAAAAATTGTTCATCTCGTATGGACTGTGTTAGACGAATCGCGCGGGTAACCGCGCGATTGACACACATACACACAAGGGGGAAATGTTTTTTAATTTGATACGGGACCCACACCTCGCCTGTGAGGAGGTGGTCAGCCGTGGTGTAAACCCCGCGGGTCGTTTAGCATTTTTCATCTCGTATAGCCATGCCCGTTTCTAACTAGTGGGACCACCATTGGACATTTAACAATCACGTGGCATGAAAAAAGAGTGACGTTATCACCGTTTTTTTTTTCCTTCCCCCTAAATAGTAAATTAACACACAATTTCCGAAGCCCTTCATTCACTCCAGTTATTTTCAAATTTATATTCCGAAATAAGAAATAAACTAATTCTTCCCCTCAACTCAGAGTCTATAGTCTACTTACTTGGAAAAAGGGCAACATTTCTCTTTAGATCTGAGCTTGAGATTAATCTCACTTCAATAATTAGGGTTTGTAGGTTTTTATCTTCCATAGCGTATCAGACTTCAAAGCTCTGAGCTTTTTCTTATTTTTTTCTCCTCTTATTTAAGGCGGAGAAATTCTAGGCTTCTGTGATTGTATCGGAGAAGTAAAAAGATTTTATTGAAGAAAGTGAAGCCGTATTTGACTATATAGGCAGGACGTTGTTTTCGGTCTTTGAGCTTGTTGAAGTGGAAACCTTGATTTTGAAAAAGAAAAAGACTATTTTTTACTTTTGAAGCTGAAAATATTCGTAGATTTTGATGCGATTTCTAGCTGGTTAAGAGTTTCCAGGTTGATTCGTTAATCTTTGGTTTTTTGGATTCCAAGCTTGAATGTCGAGAGGGCAGATTTAAGAGAAGCGAGCCCCAAATTTTGGCTCCGAATTTCTGTTTGTTGGTGATTTCATTTTGCTAAATGTTGTTGAAAATCGCGTCATAATATAGGTTTCGGTTGTATTTTCAGTAAATACTGGATTTGGCTTAAACTTAGCTCAATTCGGAGATTTTCAGCTATTTTTGTTAGGTTTTGACATTTTTTTATAGAAATATTGTTATGTTCTGAGCAATGGCGCTTAAGCTTCCCGCGTCAGAAGCAGCCAAGGTTGCCATTCAGTCGATTGGACGTGGATACGACATATCCTTAGATCTGAGGTTGAAGTACTGTAAAGGGGATTCACGTTTGATTGAGATCGGTGAGGATCAGGGTAGGGAGATTGTTCTACCTGGCGGGACTTCTATGCCAAACGTTTCAAAATCGATCAAGTGCGATAAAGGAGAGAGAACGAGATTTCGCTCGGATGTTCTATCTTTCCAGCAGGTTTCGTTTCTCTTACTTTCACTACTTTCTTTTAGTTATTTATGTAAGTATCTATATCTGATTGTCTGCACCCACTTTTGCTAAGAATTTATGTCTTTTCATTTTTTATCAAGCAAATTCTTGGTTGTTGACTGCCAGTGAGTCTTATTTTACATGGCTGTAGCTGTTTATTTGTAAGTGTATCAATGTGGTTTTAATGCCAAGCAGCAATCTTGCTTAAATTATATAGTTACGGCACTCTCCCTCTGTCCTGTTCATTGGTTGAAACTCTGTACTAGCTTGATGATGTTACCATACTTCAATTGCCTGTTAAGATTTTTGTGTATTCTTCTCATCTGGAGCAAGAATGTTGTGAAATAGCCACATATAAAACTTTGTTTCATGTAATGCTTTGACAACGTCTGAAATGAATATGGCCTCCTCTTCATTCACCAAGCATGATCACAAAATGAAACAATAAAAATACTTGAAAAAGTTGAAGGAGATTGAAAGCACAATTAACTGCACAAATTCTCTGCCTACTTTTAAATTTTACTACTGCTCCATACTTCGTGTTGTAACTTGTACTACATCATTTTTTTCTCGAATTTCATGATTTTTGTTTGCAAATTACCCTCTAGATGTCAGAGCAATTTAATCAAGAGCTGTCATTGACTGGAAAAATTCCTTCTGGGCTCTTCAATGCTATGTTTGAGTTTTCTGGTAGTTGGCAAAAAGATGCGGCATACACAAAAACCCTTGCTTTTGATGGAATGTTCATATCACTCTACACTGTTGCACTTGAAAAATCTCAGATGGTGCTGTGTGATCATGTAAGAAAAGAAGTTCCATCAACATGGGAGCCTGCTGCATTATTCCAGCATCCAGAAGTTTGATCACCTCAGCTCTTACTATTTCCTTCATGTTTGGGTTTAGCCTTCTTTGACTTTCAACTGTTGGTCAAAAATTCTCCTCCATGAGAATTTTATGCATACATAAGGAAGGGCTGATCCATTTGATATCAGCTATGGTCTACCCAATTGCTTGCTTGTTATCTCGAAGCATCCTAAGCAGTTTTTCCTCCTCCACTTCACTAACCATGTTTGAAATTATCACTGGAAGTGTATTGGACTCCCCCAAATATGCATATCTTAAGTGTGGGGGCAGCTGCTTAAGTTCCAACTTTGGTGGCTTCAGAATAGATGGCTGTGATTTCTCTGGCCCTGTCCCAAGCTCCTCAAAGTATCGTTTCCGCGTGTAAGGTGGGTTGGATTCCAAAAATCTTGCACACATTTCTATGTCTACAGAATTAGAACTCGTGGATTTAGAATATGCAATGCAGGCCTCCAATGCATCTGATGGATTTTGCAGTGTAAATGACTCTTCAATCATTTTATCAATCATGTCAACCCTGAAACATCTGTCAGTCTCTATTGGCAGTTTCATAGCCTTGAAGACATTGAATGAAACTTGTTCTTCTCCCAATCTCAGTATCAACTGCCCATTCTGAACGTCGATCAAAGCTCTGCCTGTGGCTAAGAATGGTCTGCCCAACGTCGATCAAAGATCTGCCTGTGGCCAAGAATGGTCTGCCCAGTATTAAAGGAACATCTTTATCTTCTTCCATATCCAGAATCAGAAAGTCTGCTGGGAATATGAACTTCTCCACTTTAACAACACGTCTTCAATTATTCCTCGTGGATGTGTCAATGATCTGTCAGCCAGCTGTAAGGTCACCGTGGTAGCTTTAGCTTCTCCCAATCCTAATTTTCTGAAAACAGACAATGGCATTAAATTAATACTTACACCAAGATCACATAAGGCTTTATCAAAATAAAATTTACCAATGGTACAAGGGACAGTGAAACTCCCTGGATCTTTCAATTTTGGCGGGAGCTTTCTCTGAATCCTGGCACTGCACTCCTCTATTAGCATAACTGTCTCGTGATCTCCTAGCTTCCTATTGTTTGATAGGATGTCTTTCAGGAATTTTGCATAGTTAGGCATCTGAACCAGTGCTTCAGTGAATGGGATGTTGATATGGAGCTTCTTGAAGACTTCGAGAAACTTCTTGTATTGCTGTTCTATCTTTTGCTTCTTCGGCCTCTATGGAAACGGCATGGGTGGCTCATAGGGGTTCACAGCTACAGTTTCTTTATCCCTTGAGTTTCCTTTATTTGCTCTCGGTGTTGGCTCTTCTGTCTGTTCTTCTTGCTCCAAAATCTCTTCTACTTCAGGAGACACCTCTTCTCTATTTGCCACGGGATTATTCACTTGTCTCTCAGGTAGTTCCACTCCACTTCTCGTTGTTATAGCCTTTGCATGCTCTTTCGGATTGACTTCTATGTTACTTGGCAGGCTGCCTAGTGCTCTACCTGTTAATGCAACTGCTATCTGTCCCATTTGAGTTTCCAAATTCTTAATGGCTGCATTCTAATCCTGAAGAGTGGCTTCTGTCTTCTTCATGAATTGGTTGTTCACCTCCATATATTGGTTAGTCTGTTCCATGAATTTGCCAAACATTTCTTCCAATTGAGGCTTCTTCTCTTGCTGTTGATATTGCCCCTGTGGCTTGTTCTGATTTTGGTTGCTCCAAGAAAAATTTGGGTACTTTTTCCAGCTTGGGTTGAAGGTCTCTCCATACACGTTATTCTGCTGGCATTGTCCCCATTGAGCAAAATCTGCTTGCTCTTTTCCTTGTGTCGAAATTGGGCATTCTGCTGTCACATGCTTAGCTCCACATTCCTCACAATTTGCCTTCTTTGTCTGCGCTGCATTAGCTGACTGGGTAATGTTTTCCACCTTGTGAAATAAGGAATCAATCTTAGCGGATAACGCTGAATATACATCCACTTCATAAACTGCTGGTGTCTTCTTTGGTACTGCTCGTTCCATGGTCCACATTGCTGAGGTTGTAGCCATTGTCTCATATAACTTCAATGCTTCATCAATTGTTTTTGTGGACAATGACCCATTAGCTGAAGAGTCGACCATGCTCTTGAAAGCTGGAAGTAGCCCTGCATAGAAATATTGGACCTGAAGTCCCTTGCTAATCCCGTGGTGCGGACACTTCCTTAGTAGATTTTTGAATCTGTTCCAAGCCTCATCAAAATTTTCAGATTCACCTTGCCTGAAGATAGATATGTCGTGCTTTAACTTTGCAATCTTGGCCGGTGGGAAGAACTTAGTACAGAACTTCTGAGCTAGGTCATTCCAGGTAGTAATGCAGGCTATCGGCTGAGAATCAAGCCATTCAATCGCCTTGTCCCGCAGAGTATGTGGAAATAGTCTTAATCTTATGGCGTCGTTAGAGATTCCTTGATATCTGAAGTGCTGGCACAACTCTAAGAAGCGCGAGACGTGCGTGTGCGGATTCTCTTCAATTCTTCCATAAAACTGATGTCCATTCTGGAACAGTTGTATCACATTTGTCTTCAACTGGAAATTTGGTTGCCCGAACGGTGGATACACAATGCTGGACTGGCTTTGAATGATTTGAGGGGACATGAACTCTCCAACGAGCATGTTTCCTTCGTCTTCTTCCCCTCTTTCATTGGCTTGTACAATAGGATTGTGTTGTACGTTCTCCATCTGATTTCTCGCTACTCTGTTTTCTCTCTGCCTTCTTCTAAAGCTTCGTTCGATCTCTGGGTCGGCTGGGAGTAGATCTCCTTCAGCAGATCTTGGCATGCACTTCTACAATAGAATTCGATTTAAAGACTTAAGTAACTAAAATATGCACTTATGTAATAAAACTAACTAGCAATAAAATAAAATGAACTAAAATAAATTAAAAAAAAAAAGTTCGAATTAGTGCTAAATTGAATAAAATTAAACGAATACTCAATTCCCCGGCAACGGCGCCAAAAACTTGTTCGCGAAATAATTCTTTCGATTTAAAACTACTGCAAGTGTACGATTCGTAACAAGTAATAAAGTGGATTTTTAAAAGTCCGAATATCGTCTCTCAGAGATTGAGTAGTTCAATTCTATATAATCTAGCCTTAACCGAATCTAATTGAGTGATAATATGGTCTAAATGCAAAAAGCCCATAATTTCTATTGAAAACCCTAATTCATCAATTAGAAACCCTAATTTCGAAATTTCTCTAATTAAACGACTCAATCGCTCAAGTAAATGAAATTTTGCAAATTCAAAAGTTAATTTAGGGAAATGAATCAAACTAAAGTCACTAGAATCACGAATCCCCAATTGAAGTTATAAAAAACCCTAATTTCATAAAATTAATGATCCGGTGGAAATTTTGCCAATTCAATGTTCCTAATTCTATCCAATATATTCTCTCGATATATATTAGACCTATTCTTGCACACCACCAACCTATATCTCTATGGATGATGCAAATATACAAGAATGCGTGTAGTTTTGTGAACAATTTGAGAATTGCATAAAGCATAGGGGTATATCTCTATCCCCTATCGGACCTTATGTTAATTTACACCTTATCGAACCTATTCCACTTCTCTCGAATGTAAGAAATAAGTCATCAACACTCACACAATCATTGGCCACTAATTGCGGAAGAAAATTAATGCATGTAAACCAATCAAATTATCCAAACGAGTCTTTATATTAAATTCATGAAATATGGAATTAAAATAACAAACAACGGTTCATCGATCACCTAGTAATTGAAAACTTAGCCTAGAATATTCATAATTACAGAAAAAATGAAATTAATAAATAGAAAGAATAGCATCCGTATGAAAATTCCTTGAATTCTTGAATAAAACCTTGAAAACCCGATTGAATCCTTGTGAAATCGGCTTCAAGTTCGTGTTTCTTGCCTCCAAAAGTTATATTTTTCTTCTCCCTGGACGTTCTGCCCTATTTCTGATGAATTTTGGCTTTTATGCCATGTCCTCACGGGGCCCCGAAGGAGTTTTAATTAAAAACGAAAGTTCAGAATTTTCGTCACATTTTTAAGCCATGCGCCCGCATGGTGTTAAACCATGCAACTACATGGTTCAAATGATCTCCCCAATAAAATCCCTGCTAGTTCATGTGCGGCCGCATGTATAATTGCATGCGGCCGCAAGGTTGTAACTTTACAACCTTGCTATTTTGGTCCCTGAACTCCGTTTTCTCTTTTCTTGATCTCTTTTCTTTCTTTCCTTTGTTCCATTATCAAATACTGACTCCTAATTGATGTTTGGGTCAATCAATTCCTTGATCACTTGTTCGGCTCATCTTTTGATTAATTGCAATTTAGTCCTTCATCTTTCACTTTTCTTCAATTCAGTCCAATATTACTTTTTTCTTCCTCCGATCGTCTTGTATCGTCCTCAATCTCATACTTGGCATATTTTCATTCTAGTTCTGCACTTTAGCTCAACTTTCCAATATTTGCACCTTTGGTCCCCGAACTATCGCTTTGTTCCGTTTTGGTCCTTTTTCGGCTCTTTTCTTCTGAATTCCATCTTTTCCATAGAAACACCTACATTGCATGAATTTAACGAGATTAAGTCACAATTCAACTACTTTGTCCATATTTAAGTCATGTTTGTGAGCTAAATAAGTGTGTAAAAACACATTTATCAGGCATCGTTCGGGTATGTCAAGAACTGTATGAAGGTTGAATGACCAATAGAGGATTCGTTACTCTTAGATAGTAAGAGATTGTAATCTGCATTTCGTTCATTAAGTCAATAACGAAATCCTTAACCAAGGTATACACACAAGTCGAAAAGGAGTTTTCAACTCATATTGACTTAATAGTAGAATGAAAGATATGATCGATAATCGAGATTGACACACTTCCATATCTCGTAATTGATCGGATCATATTGACGAAGGGATTATAGTTTCATGGTAAACGAACAGGTTTGATTTTGTCATACCACGTGACATTTTCCGTCACATGTGTTGCCCTGATACATTGCTAGATGTCAATCAGGGACGGCGAATGTGAATTGGTGATAAATTAAAAGGGTGTTTTAATTTATCAATTTTTTTTATTAGATCAAAATAATATTTCATGTCGTTAGGCATCGTAATCGGGAACCTGATGGGTCGCACATAAAAGAGAATTGGAAGATTATAAATTGTCAATTAATTAATTGGATTGGTTATTTATAGCGCTGAATTAATTAATTCACGGACCAGATTTAATTAAATGGATTAATTAAATATTGGATCGGACCAGGTCGAGCCCGTTTGGGCTTATATAAATACATGACTAGGGTTTTAGAGCCATAGAGTTTTCATAATTTTTGCTAGCAGAAGTCGTGAAAGCCCTGGTGGTTGCAATTCGTTCTCTATGTGGAATTCATTGGAGGCTGGACAATTGGACAGCTGTGGGAGGCAGATCCAAGTTGTTGGATTAGAGATAACACAAAGTAGTTTGCAAATTCAAGAAAAGGTATAACTTTTATCACAATTTCTATCTAAATATAAAGAAAAATCCTGGAGAAAATTGAAATTGTTTTTATTTTCCCTGTGCATGTTTAAGTAAATTCTCGATACAATCAACGGTCTTTAGATAAACATTCAACAAAATCATAATTCAGAGAAGAGTTTACCTACAAACTATTTAAGAATAAAAAGTTAAAAAAATGAGTAATTGTGTTCTAACTAACGTTCTAAAAAGCATAATGTGTGGTGATGCGTGAATGCTAAGTTATAGGCTGAGCGAGCTTAGGCGAGACATAGGCTTAAAAAGGCATAAAAATGCGTTTTCTTATTTTAATTTTTAATCAATCAAAAAATCGTTTAATAATTAAAAATAATACTTACCAAACATTTAAAACAAATTTATAGGAAATGTATACATTTTTCAAAACTTTCAACAAAATGATAAGTTCTAAATATCAATATTAAATAGTATATAAATAAGAATTTTTTGAAAGATTTTCTTTGTTCAAGGCTTCAAGTAATTATTTTGAATTTAGAACCAACGAAGTGAAGAAATCAACATTTAAGTTTTAACTTAGAAAAATTGTTAAATAATAATAATAATAATAATAATAATAATAATAATAATAATAATAATAATAATAATAATAATAATAATAATAATAATAATAATAATAATAAAAACAAAATAATAATAATAATAATTTTTTTTTAAAACATATAACCACGCCTAGGTGCGCATTAGTAGTCAACGATTGCTGTTAACCGCTAAATAAGATGTCAAGCCACTTAACTTGGCGTTTTAGCCACACATCACGCATTGGCGATGCCTAATATGCGCCTTTTAGAATAGTGGTCCTAACATGATAGACAGCTTATTCGTAAGCAAGAAACGAAACCCACAACTTTGTAGGTAGATCTGGGCAAATTGTTCCGGGTTCATTTTGATGTAGTGGCTATTTGTATGGAGGTCAACACAAGTAAATAATCTTAAGAGTACATTTTAATAACATCTAGCTTTGTGCCTTTTTAATTCATCAATGATTTTACGTCTCTAACTACGTGACAAGCCACATGGCTGCCAACTAAGAAAAGCGCTGAGTAAGTATTTTGCCGATGTCCAATTTTATCACTTTTCGAGGCGATGAAGGAGCATCCCATTGCCTCCTTGGACTTTGCTTTCCAAGGATTCGGATGCACAACACATGCCTCATCGACTAATGCCCTTGAGGCTACTTAGCCTGAAGTAGAAGCGTCAACACCTGACTCCGAAGTGGTGAGAGGAACCACTACTAGTAGTCAAATAAGATTGTTCTTTGGTGTTCGAGGTGGTAGTGATGCTCTGAGGGCTTCTCATATAACTTATATTCTGATATATAGAGTTACGTGAGTTGTGATTGATGGGATGTCTTCTGCAATGATTGTTGGGAATTAAATTCCACCTTTTTTGCCTAGGACAGCATGCGAAGCTCATAGTTGCTGATTCCTAGGACACGACATTGTGACGTCATGAAGCTTGGTTAAAAAAACTCACGTTTACTGTTATTCAAATGTAATTGCAATCTTAACAATTCTTTCTATAATACAAACTCTTTTGGTCATATCTCCTTCTCTTTTACCATCACCCCTCACACAATATATTTTGTCTTATCCTTTTCGATTGAGCATCAAAGTGCATATGATCGTTGCTTTCTTAATCCTTTGTGTTTGGAGGGACTTTAGTCTTGCATTTAAAATATGCATTGTCATATATAATTAGAGGGGAGTGGATATGCGATATATTGACGCATTAGTCCCAAACAAATTTAAATGCTGATAAATTAGCATTGTTTGTAAAAAATCATACCTTAATCACAAGTGAATCCAAAAACCTACCTATTTCCCTTGAAAAATTATTCATCTCGTATGGACTGTGTTAGACGAATCGCGCGGGTGACCGCGCGATTGACACACATACACACAAGGGGGAAATGTTTTTTAATTTGATGCGGGACCCACACCTCGCCTGTGAGGAGGTGGTCAGCCGTGGTGTAAACCCCGCGAGTCGTTTAGCATTTTTCATCTCGTATAGCCATGCCCGTTTCTAACTAGTGGGACCACCATTGGACATTTAACAATCACGTGGCATGAAAAAAGAGTGACGTTATCACCGTTATTTTTTTTCTTCCCCCTAAATAGTAAATTAACACACAATTTCCGAAGCCCTTCATTCACTCCAGTCATTTTCAAATTTATATTCCGAAATAAGAAATAAACTAATTCTTCCCCTCAACTCAGAGTCTATAGTCTACTTACTTGGAAAAAGGGCAACATTTCTCTTTAGATCTGAGCTTGAGATTAATCTCACTTCAATAATTAGGGTTTGTAGGTTTTTATCTTCCATAGCGTATCAGACTTCAAAGCTCTGAGCTTTTTCTTATTTTTTTCTCCTCTTATTTAAGGCGGAGAAATTCTAGGCTTCTGTGATTGTATCGGAGAAGTAAAAAGATTTTATTGAAGAAAGTGAAGCCGTATTTGACTATATAGGCAGGACGTTGTTTTCGGTCTTTGAGCTTGTTGAAGTGGAAACCTTGATTTTGAAAAAGAAAAAGACTATTTTTTACTTTTGAAGCTGAAAATATTCGTAGATTTTGATGCGATTTCTAGCTGGTTAAGAGTTTCCAGGTTGATTCGTTAATCTTTGGTTTTTTGGATTCCAAGCTTGAATGTCGAGAGGGCAGATTTAAGAGAAGCGAGCCCCAAATTTTGGCTCCGAATTTCTGTTTGTTGGTGATTTCATTTTGCTAAATGTTGTTGAAAATCGCGTCATAATATAGGTTTCGGTTGTATTTTCAGTAAATACTGGATTTGGCTTAAACTTAGCTCAATTCGGAGATTTTCAGCTATTTTTGTTAGGTTTTGACATTTTTTTATAGAAATATTGTTATGTTCTGAGCAATGGCGCTTAAGCTTCCCGCGTCAGAAGCAGCCAAGGTTGCCATTCAGTCGATTGGACGTGGATACGACATATCCTTAGATCTGAGGTTGAAGTACTGTAAAGGGGATTCACGTTTGATTGAGATCGGTGAGGATCAGGGTAGGGAGATTGTTCTACCTGGCGGGACTTCTATGCCAAACGTTTCAAAATCGATCAAGTGCGATAAAGGAGAGAGAACGAGATTTCGCTCGGATGTTCTATCTTTCCAGCAGGTTTCGTTTCTCTTACTTTCACTACTTTCTTTTAGTTATTTATGTAAGTATCTATATCTGATTGTCTGCACCCACTTTTGCTAAGAATTTATGTCTTTTCATTTTTTATCAAGCAAATTCTTGGTTGTTGACTGCCAGTGAGTCTTATTTTACATGGCTGTAGCTGTTTATTTGTAAGTGTATCAATGTGGTTTTAATGCCAAGCAGCAATCTTGCTTAAATTATATAGTTACGGCACTCTCCCTCTGTCCTGTTCATTGGTTGAAACTCTGTACTAGCTTGATGATGTTACCATACTTCAATTACCTGTTAAGATTTTTGTGTATTCTTCTCATCTGGAGCAAGAATGTTGTGAAATAGCCACATATAAAACTTTGTTTCATGTAATGCTTTGACAACGTCTGAAATGAATATGGCCTCCTCTTCATTCACCAAGCATGATCACAAAATGAAACAATAAAAATACTTGAAAAAGTTGAAGGAGATTGAAAGCACAATTAACTGCACAAATTCTCTGCCTACTTTTAAATTTTACTACTGCTCCATACTTCGTGTTGTAACTTGTACTACATCATTTTTTTCTCGAATTTCATGATTTTTGTTTGCAAATTACCCTCTAGATGTCAGAGCAATTTAATCAAGAGCTGTCATTGACTGGAAAAATTCCTTCTGGGCTCTTCAATGCTATGTTTGAGTTTTCTGGTAGTTGGCAAAAAGATGCGGCATACACAAAAACCCTTGCTTTTGATGGAATGTTCATATCACTCTACACTGTTGCACTTGAAAAATCTCAGATGGTGCTGTGTGATCATGTAAGAAAAGAAGTTCCATCAACATGGGAGCCTGCTGCATTGGCAAGGTATGACACATATTGTCTTCTATACCCATGGTTTGTAATGGAGGCACCATTATTATTCTGAATGCAAGCTATTTTTAAGCCTTCTGTTGTATTGGCGTTTCAAAAAGTTGCATCCTGTTTTGCTTTTCATTCCTTGTTTACAAGAAGGGGTAGATTGTTGTTTTGTGTGGTTGAAATAGATATTTTGCGCACCCTTAGGTCTGGAGCTCCTGTTAGTTGTCACTGGCAGTATGATGTTTCTGCTAATCTTGAGTATTTCAATTTTTATGGAGTTGGTAGTATGGGTGGGCAACGGCACACTTATGTGTGAAGAAAAGGGACGGTGATAGAATACTAAGAAAGCTTGAACACCTTTGTAATGGTTTGCTTAAATCTATATACCTTTCTTTGAAAGTATATCTTCTGAGCTAAGGAATACGAGGTCCACTGACTAAATTCAAGCTTCCTGCTGCTGTTATTACAACCTTCAAATATTCTATATATAATTCTGATACTGCATTTTCATAATTTATGTGGACATGAAAAACTGTTTCCTTCTGCTCTTTATGTTGTTGGTCATCTACAACTACATTAGAATATAATATTTATAAAGAAAATCTTATAAATTTTGAGCTAAAGGTGGTTGAATTCTTCTGTTAAATATAATTGGATGCATCCATGGTTCCATTTGCTACCTTTGTGTTATATTTTGAAATGTATTGTTTTTCTGAGATTCCACCTTTGTTATAAGTTCATGTTTTTCTTTCAGGTTCATTGAAACGTTTGGCACACATATTATTGTTGGTATAAAGATGGGTGGGAAGGATGTAATATTTATGAAACAACAGCATTCTTCATCACTTCAACCAGCTGATGTGCAGAAAAGATTGAAGCTGATGGCTGATAAAAGGTTTCTAGATGTAAATGAACGATATGGAATGGATGCAGAACAAATATACCAGACTGAGAAGGTTTGGAATTATTTTATTTATATGTAATTTATGCCAAGGCACAATTTTGAAAACTTAGAAGCTGCTTTAATTTTTTACATCTGCACATTTATTAGTCCTCGATTCTTTAGGCAGCAGTTGATGCAAAGAACATAAATAATGTATCTTATCTCGAAAGAACTGGATATCTGCAAGAACTGGTTTTCTTGATAGAATTTGGTGCAAGAACCAATCAATTAGTGGCCATCTTTGAAGTTCGTCACTTTTCTCCCCTTTCCAATGCTTTGCCAGGTTGAAAGTTAAAATTTGTATGATCACTATCGGTCGTCAGTCGAAAATTACTTATTAGCCAACTATTTGACTGTCATATGTTGCATATATTCTGGCTGATGTTTTAGAACTTTATGCTCTGCTGGTGTTTTGCATTATTTTACAAATCAACCAATATGTGAACTGTAGATTTGTTCCCTTGATGCAACAAGAACCACTTTCTCCAGAGAATTTGGTGCAAAAATCTACCAATTATTCGTCGTCTCTGAAGTTTTTGTCCGTTTCCCTCTTTACAATTTTGTCGAAGTTATAAGATTATGAGTCATCATAGGCCTATAATTACCTATAGTCAACTTTTGGCAAATATTGTATAAATGGCTGATATTTTAGAAATTAGATGCTCTACTGTTTGCATTGTTTAATTAATTCATAAAATGCATAAACTGTGATTTGTTGCATTGATGCCTTGCCTATTTGATTTTTCAGTTTGAAATGAGGGAGACAAGGCTGAGGTTTGCAGATACTGGCACATCAAGTTCTTACTCACATAAAGATGTATGTCTTTCATATTTTACAAATTGGATTGGTGTAACTTGATGGGCTCAAGAGTTCTGGGATCTATTTTCATTTAGTTAATTGGTTTTTAAATAACAGGATATTGTTAGCATCTGCAAAAGGAGAGGTGGAAGTGATAATAGAACTTTGGCCCATAAAGAGTGGCTACAAACGGTACAATTAGAGCCTGATGTGATCTCAATGTCCTTTATTCCCATAACGGCCCTTCTGAATGGCGTCTCTGGGAGTGGATTTTTGAGCCATGCCATTAATCTATACTTGCGCTGTGAGTAACATCTTCTGTTTTTCCATTGTGTATTTATCTGGTTCTGAAGCTTCTAGATTGGGATTTCGATAGAAGAGATTTTAGGTTGGTTCCGTGTGCTGAGATGTGAAGCAATCTTGGTTGAAGCCAATTCAAAAGTTGGCTTTTGCAATCTGTTTATTTTCAAAATATATTTTCCACTATCTGCTTTTAATTATTTATCCATTATTTTCCTTTTGGAACTGAGCTAAAATAAAACGGGGCTTCTTGAATTAATTATTCAAAATTATGCATCCGCACCTTGTTCTTCATATGATCATTCTTGCAAGTCATGTCCATGTATTTGGCGGCCTACTAATTCTGACATTTTTCATCGTTGACCTCTGGTTGCAGACAAACCACCAATTGAAGAACTTCACCAGTTCTTGGAATTTCAGTTGCCTAGACAGTGGGCACCTGTTTTCAGTGATCTCCCTCTTGGTCCACAGCGGAGGCAACAAGGTTCACCTTCATTGCAGTTCAGTTTAATGGGTCCCAAACTTTTTGTAAATACCACTCCGGTAAATCATCTTTGCTTGTTTGAGTGTTGTCTTTTCTTGATCGCATACTCTGGTTTTTGTTCTGTCAGAATTAATTTGTATCCTAGCTGTAATTTAACATTATCTGCAACTTAGCATCAGTAAAATTCCATTTGCGCCAGTGGTAATTAAGCTGAGGAACTTTGTCCACGATCTTTTGATACTTCTAACACCCGAGATTGCAATTGTATGTACGGTCTTGTACAGTGTAACCTATTTCATTTGTGGTTGCTTTTTGTTTACTTCCTGAAACAAATATTAGAAGTTATTGTACAAATAAAGAACTATTAATTAAGCGGGTAAGTATTTTTATCCCATTAGTCCCTCGAGTAATCAATTTTAATATCCATTTTCACGTTGCTTCTAACATCAAAATGATTTGCTGCCTTTGCTCGACTAATTTCTTCACTTTTGCGATGCCTCTATTATTTACGTTTCAGAGAACTAATTGGATACTTACCGTAAAATATCAAACATTTCAGGTTGATGTGGGTAAGAGGCCCGTCACTGGCCTGCGGTTGTATCTCGAAGGTAAGAGAAGCAACCGCTTGGCAATCCACTTGCAGCACCTGTCCTCCCTTCCAAATATTTTCCAGCTTGTGGATGATCCAAATGGAAACTTCCGCCAGGAATCATATGATCGCAAATATTATGAGAAGGTTCAGTGGAAGAACTTTTCCCATGTATGCACTGCACCAGTTGAATCTGATGAGGACCTTTCAATTGTCACTGGAGCACAGTTACAGGTTGGGGATTACGGGTTCAAAAAGGTTCTGTTCCTGCGTCTCCGCTTCTCAACTGTTACACAGGCTGTTGCAGTAAAGCATCCAGAATGGGATGGTTCCCCTGGACTGGCCCGCAAATCTGGACTTATATCTACCTTGATTAGTCATCACTTCACATCAGTTCAAAAACCACCTCCACAGCCAGCTGATGTGAATATAAACTCAGCTGTTTATCCCGGGGGCCCTCCAGTTCCTGTCCAAACACCTAAACTCTTGAAATTTGTTGACACAACAGAGATGACGAGAGGGCCACAAGAAACACCTGGTTATTGGGTTGTTTCAGGTGCAAGACTTCTGGTTGAAAAAGGGAGGATCTCACTCAGGGTCAAATATGCATTAATCACAGTAGTACTACCTGATGATGAAGAGTCGGACCGAAATTAGGTTTTTGGCTTCTCAAGAAAATAAGGAAATTTTGATATAACCCTGTAAGAAGATTGGACTGAGGACATCAGTGTCCTACTAGACCACATCGTAGTCGAAGGATGTAACAAATTTCCACCATGAATTGAAGAATGAATACCTTACCTCTCTTTCGACATGGAGAATTTGTTGTGCAAGGAGAAAAAGCTATCAAGATTAAGAAGATTGACACATTACTTGTATTATTTGTTTTCCATTCTGTACCATGGGATTTTTTTTCTGTTTTTTACATGCATGATCAGACATTTGCTCATTCTCTACTGTAGATACAACGAGTGTTAATGATGTAGCTTTTAACCATAAATCAGTTGAGGGTGTTTGTGCTTATCAGTAGACATTACTTCGGATATGGATTGCAGAAGACCTCTGGTCTTTGCAGTATAATTGTTAATGACACTTGAACTGTGTCCAAAAGAATCGGGACTGAAGTGTTCAACAAGAAAATTACTCGATCATGCAAATTGTTTCATTTGCAGCTTATCAGCGTATATCATTAAGATGTGTGAGATTTATTGAATTCTTGCGCTAGGAGGCTTGTCTGTCAATGGTACTCTTAGAGGAGGGAGGGGGGGGGGGGGGGGGGGGGGGGGGGGGGGGGGGGGGGGGGGAGATTTTTCCGGCATTTGGATTCGTACTGTTTATATTATATTACATGGTGCACGTAAAATTACGATTATTCTTTTCATATTGGTACTAAATTAAGGCCAAGTTGTCTTGATTCCAACTGCCTGCCACAGTCATTTTGACATATTGGCCATAACTTATGATCTAATTGATGCGTGACTATAATCATTTCAACATCGAGTTTACTGCTCGAATATGTCACCGACCCTATCACGATTGTATCTTTGATTGGCTCCTTTTAGGGATCGGCTCGGCCCATAAAAGCACGAGCTCGGCTCGTCCAAAAAAGGGCGATCTTTTGGGCGAGCTCGGCTAAGCCCACGAGCTCGCGGCTCGAGAGTAGATTTTTTTTTTTTTTTTTTATTTGGGAAAAAAAATAGGTATTTTAAAAAAAAAAAAAGTAATTATTTTTTAACTAAAAGAGATAGAAAAAATAAAAATGAAAGCTTTATTTTTCTTTTTAAAATAGATAAAATATAAACCCTCCTCCTTTATCTGGACTTAGACCGACTACTTAAATTTTCAGTAGGCGGAGTTAAAATTGTATACGAACAATTTTTTGTAGCGTGTACAATTTTTTAAAGAAAATTAAAAGTAACAATAAGAAAAGAAAAGTTTCATTAATATAATTAAATCAAATATCACTTATTTGACGACATGCAATTTCGGCATATTTATCTTGTAGTCGAAAATGAGCGTCCTGTCAATCCTTAACGCACATTAACGCTTCTAAAATATCTTCTTTCAGTCGGCTCTTGACCTCACTCAAAATTCTTTTACTTGCACTAAAAGTAGACTCCGAAGCAACAGTGCTAACCGAAGGTGTCAACAGATCTTTTGCAATCACAGATATAACTGGCCAATATCGTTCATACCTTCGCCAGAATTCAATTACTTCGTCTGAACTTTTTTAAATTGTTTTATCTGTTGACATATTCTGGTTGAAATAATCAATTAATTCAGCAGGCAATATATTATGACTTGAGCCCGTAGATGTATGATGAGAATGAGATACAGATGGTGATGACATGACAGTGGTAGTGGTAGTAGATGAACACATTGCAAATGAATCAAATCTATACGAATTAATGCCTTGAAATAAATTAAATATTTTCGCATCTTCTTCCTCAATTTTAGTGGAAGGAGTAGGTGCAAATAGTACCCGACTAATATTCGATTCGCATATAATTCATACATTTCACATAATATTTGCTCTAAATTTCTATATGTGATAGGTATATCAAATGTTAAGGCGTTTGAGATTTGATCAATTATATATTTAGTTCCCGATAAATTATATCGGGGGTCCATCACGCATG